GATTATTTTAGGTTTAGATAACAATAACAGCTCTGCCGTCTACTCTGACTAAGGTCTATTGGCCTTTACAGTGAACCGATACATCAGTATGCTCAGAAGTGGAATGTTCTCAATGTTAAATTAGTCTTGCATTGTGTTTGTGTCTCCAGGCGGATGCAGAGAAGATCAATGTGGAAGCCTATGTGGTCTTTGGGATCATCCTGTTCTTCTGGGAGTTGCTGCCCACCAGTCTGGTGGTGTTGTTCTTCAGAGTGCAGCGGCCCAATCAGAACCTGGTGAAAGTCTAATCCTGTCTCACTTCTCTAAATCTGTCCGTCAATATCACAGCTGGACACTTACTCAATGATGAGAGCCGGTGATCAGGTTGTTTTCCTGTCAGATAGAATTAATTACTCAGACGTCTGCCCCACTGAAAACAACACCCCATGCTGCTGTGTTAGTCACGTATTTGCCTGTCTGTGTTGGACCAGTCATATGGTCTTATTTATATTTTGTATACGTTTTTTCCACAGACACCGGGTGGCATGATCAACAGTCACAGCTTTAGTTCCAGAGCATATTTCTTTGACAACCCACGCCGCTATGATAGTGATGACGATCTGTCTAGAAATACAACTTCCCGAGGAGAAAGATGCAGGTGTGTGTACTCACATTTTTAAACACAGGAGTGTTTACCCACAGACTTTTATATAGGAATGTTATATTTACTTATAGTTAAAGATATTAGAAGTTTTTAAAGGCATAGTTCATTTAAAAATGATTTACTCACAGGACTGCCCTGACTCACCTTCATGTCTTTCCAAACTTGTATGACATTTTTCTTCAGAGAAATACAGAGATGTTTTTTGTGAACGATCCCTTTAAATAACATGATTGATACATCAGTTAAATTATGTCTCTAAGGCTTAAGGTTCTGTTTTCCAGCAGTATCCTGTCATCCACGCCACAGACGGGCCCAGGTTGGTACAGCTCGATCCAGAGGAACGGCAGCCTAACAGCAATCCCTCACCTGCTGAACGGCCCCCAAACATCAACCGCCCCTCTTCTCTTTGCCAATGGCAACATTCAGACCAACCAACACCACAATTACTATTCCACCCCCCAGAACTACTACTCAACCTCCCAGACACACTACGCCACCCCTCAGAACTAATGCAGATCCTTCATGTGGATTGATCTAGTCTGAGGTTTGGCTCAGCCAGGACATCGAGCAATGCTTTATGGTCGTCTTCCCCCTCAGTCAGTTTATCTGCCCACATTGAAACGGCAGGAAATTAAAGGGACCATACAAAGGTGATGGGGGGGTTGTTTGGACCAAATGGACCAGCTTTTCCAATGTTCTCATTTCTGAAAACCATCCATCCTATCACCCAAAATTGGCGCAATGAGCTCCTAAGAGCCTTCAGCACATGGACTCCCCTCTGTGAGTTGGGATGTGCTTTTTGCACTTATTGTGGGCCTGTATGTTATATTTGGATCAATTGGAATAGTTGTAGGCCAGAATGTGGTGTTGGTGGTGGCGAGATTTTTCTGTTTTTGGAGATTACGCCTTTTATATTCCATCGTTTTGGAGAAAGAGCACGACCTCCTTGTGCATCCGAGACGACCAAGTGAAAAAGCATGATCCGTCGTGCACCGACATTCACATGTGACTCTTTCTTGAATTCCTTTAACGTTTTTTATTACATTGCCAAAGAGCCTGTGCTTAAATCCAAGGTAGTAAATTTTTACGCTTCCCAAAGACAGAGAGATACCCAGTTCCTACAATCCCAGAACCAACGACTGAGATCTAGCATATTCAAATGTATGACTAGGAAGACTAACTCTACTTCTCAGACCAACCAACACCACAATTACTATTCCACCCCCCAGAACTACTACTCAACCTCCCAGACACACTACGCCACCCCTCAGAACTAATGCAGATCCTTCATGTGGATTGATCTAGTCTGAGGTTTGGCTCAGCCAGGACATCGAGCAATGCTTTATGGTCGTCTTCCCCCTCAGTCAGTTTATCTGCCCACATTGAAACGGCAGGAAATTAAAGGGACCATACAAAGGTGATGGGGGGGTTGTTTGGACCAAATGGACCAGCTTTTCCAATGTTCTCATTTCTGAAAACCATCCATCCTATCACCCAAAATTGGCGCAATGAGCTCCTAAGAGCCTTCAGCACATGGACTCCCCTCTGTGAGTTGGGATGTGCTTTTTGCACTTATTGTGGGCCTGTATGTTATATTTGGATCAATTGGAATAGTTGTAGGCCAGAATGTGGTGTTGGTGGTGGCGAGATTTTTCTGTTTTTGGAGATTACGCCTTTTATATTCCATCGTTTTGGAGAAAGAGCACGACCTCCTTGTGCATCCGAGACGACCAAGTGAAAAAGCATGATCCGTCGTGCACCGACATTCACATGTGACTCTTTCTTGAATTCCTTTAACGTTTTTTATTACATTGCCAAAGAGCCTGTGCTTAAATCCAAGGTAGTACATTTTTACGCTTCCCAAAGACAGAGAGACACCCAGTTCCTACAATCCCAGAACCAACGACTGAGATCTAGCATATTCAAATGTGTGACTAGGAAGACTAACTCTACTTCCATCCTCTGATATTTTGGTACTTGGCTTTTGAAGGACATTGTGGGCTCGTGGGGGAATTTACCTGCATATATCAGTAGTCGAAAACTAGAATATCATTCTCCAGGGATGCCTGAAATGGTGCCATCGTATGATTTTCCTAGCCGAAAACATGTTGCACAAAATTCATGTTTGGGTTGAACATGTTTCATGAGCTTTATATCATCATTCCTGTATAATTGTATTTCAGGAGCGTGATTGGTCAGCAATTGATCAGCATATCCAGCTTAAATGAAACGGTCCTTTCCATTTCCCTAAAAAAAGTAATTGTAAAAAAAGCTTATTTTTTTATCCCCTAATTTGCTGCTCCATATGTTATGAGCGATGTACAAGATATCAGCAATCATTTTGGCTGAAGCAATCATCAGTTGTGGTGTAAATATGATGAATGGGCAGCTGTAGGGCTGAAACTCTGTTATTGGATTTATTTTTAAAATGTGTTTTAAATTGCGTCTTACAGGGTTTTGTGTATGCTGTATGAAAAAAGTGGATGGTTTTAATTGATTTGGACATTAAATCGGCCTCGTGTCTTATTTCCTTGCTTTCTGCCAGCTAATTTGTTGCAAAGCTGTTCAGTTATGAGAAAACTTGAGCATTAAGTGATGGAAATGTAATGCGTTTGATCGAATGTCGATTGGGTTCATTTCCTGACAAACTGCAGACAAGATGGGGCTGTGTGTGAGTTGGTTGGTTGGTTTCTTTTTTTATCTTCATTAATTTATAAATGCGAGTCTGAAAAATGTTACTGTGAAATTTGTCATATCAACTTGCAAAAGTGCAAGTAAAGCCTTTGTTTTTTTGTTCGAGGCCAATGAATGTAACTCGTTTACCCATGTTCATAGTTAATTAAAGATGTACACAAGCACTACCATTAAAAAATTAAGTTTTATTGCACTGTTTTAAAAACAAGTTTTGTTTTGACCAGGGTCTAGGTAATTTGGCATGATTTATTATAAGAAAATTAATGATGTTTATTGCAGATAGCAATAGAAGTAAAAATAGAAACTTTTTTTCAACTCCAGTGTTCCGGTATATTCAGTTTTTCCTTCAAAATACCAGTGTTAATTTCTCTTGATGACTGTCTAACAGATCTAACCGTGTTTTCGTTTCTTGGCAGAACTGCTGGCCACAATTGAATTTATAGTGGTTAGATCTCACTGAGTCTCATGGAGCAGCTTTAATTAGGACCGAACGGCCTGTGAATCTTGATTCTGCCTCTGAGATCGTCAGCTGTATATTCAACGTTTGATTCAGCACTTTGTTAGTAATGCATGCTATTAATTAATATAATATATATTAATAAATTCAATCGCAGTTGTGTGACATCCTGCAGCTAAACTGGTAGGTCGTGGAACTAACAATATCATGGGAACACATTTACTGATTAAATGTATACATTGAGTGCACTAAAGTGTTCAATGAATAAATGCAAACATATAAAGGAATGTAAAAAAGATGACATCTATAAATCTCCCCAACACATTTTAACATTCATCACAAAATAAATGCGAAACACGTGTGCAACACAATACAAAAACTAATAAAGAATAATATTTTCCAAAATAAAACATGTGACCCTTTTTCGAAATTGGGATTTATACATCATCTGAAAGCTGAACAAATAAGCTTTCCATTGATGTATGGTTTGTTAGGATAGGACAATATTTGGCCGAGATACAACTATTTGAAAATCTGGAATCTGAGGGTGCAAAAAAATCTAAATATTGAGAAAATCGCCTTTAAAGTTGTCCAAATGAAGTTCTTAGCAATGCATATTACTAATCAAAAATTAAGTTTTGATATAATTACGGTAGGAAATTTACCAAATATCTTTATGGAACATGATCTTTACTTAATGTCCTAATGATTTTTGGCATAAAAGAAAGATCGATAATTTTGACCCATAAAATGTTTTTTGGCTATTGCTACAAATATACCCCAGCGACTTAAGACTGGTTTTGTGGCCCAGGGTCACATATTTTTGGTGAAATTTGTAATTTTATTTTTAAATACAGTCAACATGCTCAAACAAAATCTAGGTGCCAAGTCATATATTCAAAAATAACACTTTACCATAAATGTTTCAAAATGGTAATTTCCAAAAACATTTAAATATATTACAACAATAAAGAAATGGCAACTTGGCTTTATATATGCAAAATATATAAATAAAGTGGTTTATGTCCCTCTTGTAAAAATGTAAAGTATATTTATGTATTTCCAATTAGTTCCCAATAAACTACATTATTTTTGGTCACCTATGCAGTTATTTGTGAAACAATACAGTTGAGACTAAAGTGCTCAATTCTTAAGGGATAAAACTGCAGTGCTGTTAAACTGTATTTAGAAACAACTGGTATAAACCTTCTGAAAACAGTTATTTAACCCAAAACAAGTCCGTTTTATGTATGTCAAATTCTTGACTGTGGCTGAATGAAGGATTTTTACAGTCACTGTTTGAGATTTGACAACAGTGACCGAAAGTTGTCCAGCTCTCTGACACTTGTGGAGATCCTGAAACAAAACAAGACGCATGAAAAAGACATGTCAACTAAATATATCTAGACAAAAATAGACATTGACATACCTTCCGAAAGCATTGAACAAAGACACAATTTCCTGCCGGCTGAGCTGAAATGATGGATTGGTGTTGCTTGTGTTGGGCATTGCCTCTATTTGCCTTTCAGAGAACAGGATTTTCAGCGCGGTTCCCAGGCCTTGGGTCTATGAGAGGCATTCACTGAACGTCACATATCAACACAAATAACATCATCTGGTTACCTGTCATGATCTTTACCATTTACCTGCAATTTGCCCCAAAGTCTGCATTTAAAGCATTCAACACAGTCCATGACGCGCGAGATGTTCTTAAAGGTCAGCTTGAAGTCTTCCTAAGGTCAGGGAAGATGCAACTGGTTTATTACTTCTTTAAAAACATATTTCTGCAACATTGTTAATATAGAAAACATGGAAATGAGCCACTGACTTTCAGTTTAATGGCTTCCTTCTTATTTCCAGCAAATAGAGCAGTCTCATCAAAATGCAATGGAAAAGATCTGCAAATAAAGAATGTTATATTACTTCAAAAATTGTGAACATGTATGTATAAAAACACTATATTGTGAAATATTATTACAATTTTAAATAACCATTTTCTATTTTACTATATTTAAAAATTTATTCCTGTGATGATAAAGCTCAATTTTCCCTCTTCTTTTCAGTGTCACATGATCCTTCAGAAATCATTCTAATACGTTGTTTGGGTGTTCCAGAAACATTTCTTATTATTATCAATGTTGAAAACAGTTTTTTTGGAATTAATATATTATTATAATATTTTGGAAACAGTGATAAATTTTTTATATATTAGCTAAATAAAAATATTAAAGGAACACTCCACTATTTTTGAAAATAGGCTCATTTTCCAACTCCCCTAGAGTTAAACAGTTGAGTTTTACCGTTTTCGAATCCATTCAGCCGATCTCTGGGTCTGGCGGTAGCACTTTTAGCTGTAGCTTAGCATAGATCATTGAATCTGATTAGACCGTTAGCATCTCGCTAGCTGGGGACTATTTTCAGGCGCTGGAAAAATATAGAAACTCTTTGGTCATTTTAGATCGAGATGCTAACGGTCTAATCAGATTCAATGATCTATGCTAAGCTACAGCTAAAAGTGCTACCGCCAGACCCGGAGATCGGCTGAATGGATTCGAAAACGGTAAAACTCAACTGTTTAACTCCAGGGGAGTTGGAAAATGAGCCTATTTTCAAAAATAGTGGAGTGTTCCTTTAAGGGGCATGTCTTCTTTAAGAGATCAATGTAAACGCCCACTGCTATGATTGGGTAACAGCTTGAAATATGTATTATACTTGTGGAACACTTATGATTGAAACTGTTTTATGATTGCTACAGTTGATTACAGGTGCAGGAAGTCTTGTATGTTGTATTCATCTCTATTGCATAATAAAAGTAGAAAGTGGGTAATTTTGGCAGCTTGGTTTCAGTAAAAGCTGTTTTTAAACTAATGAGAGTTTTGAAACTTACAGGATATTTTTATAGTACATTTACCTGTTATATGTCAAAAGATCAAGGGGTTTTTTTTTCTTGCAGAAAGATTGTTGTTATTAATTGTTAATACATATTGTTAGTAGAAAGTTAGTAGTTAGTAGTGTTCATAGTTGAAGAAACACTTAGACAATCGATTAAAGGAACACTCCCCTATTTTTGAAAATAGGCTCATTTTCCAACTCCCCTAGAGTTAAACAGTTGAGTTTTACCGTTTTCGAATCCATTCAGCCGATCTCCGGGTCTGGCGGTAGCACTTTTAGCTTTAGCTTAGCATAGATCATTGAATCTGATTAGACCGTTAGCATCTCGCTCAAAAATGACCAAAGAGATTCTGCAGCGCCTGAAAATAGTCCCCAGCTAGGTAACTTCCAATAAGCCTATTTTCAGGCGCTGCGTAATATCATTGCGCCTGCTGCACCCGGAATGAGAGTATAGTTCCTAGCCATATCGGCCTAGAAAATCGCAACTTTTCATTTTCCGTCGGTTTTAGTACACGATGTAACTACAGAAGAGCCACGTTTTAAATAGGAAAAATATAGAAACTCTTTGGTCTTTTTTGAGCGAGATGCTAACGGTCTAATCAGATTCAATGATCTATGCTAAGCTACAGCTAAAAGTGCTACCGCCAGACCCGGAGATCGGCTGAATGGATTCGAAAACGGTAAAACTCAACTGTTTAACTCTAGGGGAGTTGTAAAATGAGCCTATTTTCAAAAATAGTGGAGTGTTCCTTTAATAACTCAATCACTTAAAAAACATTGCAATGCTCTTACTTGGCCATATGGAGGAGCTCTAGAAGCAATTTCTTTTTCTCGTTATCTTCTGTGGGTTGGCCAGTGTACAAATGGAAGGCGGGACGTTCAAAATAAGGGAGTATTTTTGCCAGAGCACGCAGCTCAATGAGGTACAGGAAGTAAAGGTTGCGGAGCCTCTTTGGCCCCTCCCCTTCTGTCAGCTCCTTGTCAAACCTAAGCTGGAACTCGGAGACATTGTGACCCCACTTCATTTCGAACCAGTTTTCTGACCAATCAAATCAAATCAGACAATTAAACACTCAAGTTTAAATAGTCCCAGAAATTACAGAAATCCTTTTTTTAAACTTTACAATTTTAACCTACAATGAAAAACACAAAAGTCGTGACTCACCATCTAGAAGGTACCTGGCACTCAGGTGTATGTTTATACTGGCATGCAGTCCTGAGATCAGCCTGAAGAACGCTCGTTTCTCCACACACAAGCCTGGGGAACAACAAAAGGAACATGTCAATTAAAATATACAGTAGCAAATATAAAAAACCACCTATAAGCAGAAACTTACCCTCCAGCCAGCGGTAGAACCTCTGCCCTTTAATTAGAAACAGATTTGTCAATTTCTAGCTGATCAAATCACTGGTTAAATGGATTTGAAGTGTGTAACCTTACCATCATCTCCTAAAGTGGAGGGAAAGAAAGAGAGAGACGATTACGAGGATTATCCATCATAAGCATCACGATATGGTCCATGACATGGGTCTACTGCATATAAAATCAATGTGCTAAAAAGCTGACAAATGTTAGACTTGAAAACATAAAACAAAACATTAATTAATGCTTACCACTGTTAGATGCCAAAGGATTCAGTGGCCGTTTAACTGAATATGGTCTGAAAAAGTAGAAAAAAAAAGGTTGAGAGCTGTTACAACATTATGAGCACTCAATGATAATTAATAAAAATATTAAAGACAAGTTAGGGTGCAAATTATGGGTGGGTTTTTAGGGTGTTTAGGATTCTGTAAAAACAGAAACATTGTGAAATACTATTACAATTAAAAATAGCGATTTTCTGTTTTAATATATTTGAAACTGTAATTTATTCCTGTTGAGTTCAAAGCTGAATTTTCAGCAGCAATTATTCCAGTCTTCAGTGACAAATGATCCTTCAGAAATCTTTCAAATACAATGATTTGTGCTCAAGAAAAAAATCAGAATGTAAAAGTCTGATCTGCATGAAATACACGCGAACAGAAGCTGTGGCTATTTATAATATGTTATTGACATAACAAGTAAAAAAACAAGTTCAAAAGTTTGGGATCAGTAAGATATTTCATGTTTTTTAAAGAAGTCTCTTCCGCTCATCATGGCTGCATTTATTTGATCAGAAATTCCAGAAAAAATTGTAATATTGTGAAATATTATTGCAATTTAAAATAATGTTTTTTATTTATTTTAATATACTTTAAAAAATAATTGAAAAGCTGAATTTTCAGCATCATTACTCCAGTCTTCAGTGTCACATGATCCTTCAGAAATCATTCTAATATGCTGATTTATTATCTATATTGGAAACAGTTTTGCTGCTTCATATTTTTTTGAAACATGTGATGCTTTTTTCAGGATTCTTTGATGAATAAAACATTAAAGAGAATAGCATTTATTCAAAATCAAAATCTTTTGTAACAATATACACTATCTTTCAAAAGTTTGGGGTCAGTAATTTCTTTTCTTTTCTTTTCTTTTAAAGAAATGAATGCTTTTATTCAGCAAGGATGTGTTAAATTGATCATAAAGACTTATATTGTTAGAAAATATTTATATTTTAAATAAACACTGTTCTTTTTAACTTTATTCATCAAATAATCCTGAAAAAAGTATCACAGTTTCCAAAAAATATTAAGCAGCACAACTGTTTCCAATACTGATATTAAATCAGCATATAAGAATGATTTCTGAAGGATCATGTGGCACTGAAGACTGGAGTAATGATGCTGAAAATTCAGCTTTGCATCACAGGAATAAATTATATTTTAATGTATATTAAAATAGAAAACCAGAATTTTAATGGTAATAATATTTTTCAATATTACATTTTTTTCTGTATTTTTGGTCAAATAAAGCCCATGATGAACAGAAGAGACTTCTTTAAAACACATTTAAAATCTTACTGATCCCAAACGTTTGAACAGCAGTGTAGTTGATGGTTAGCTAACTATTCTGAGGCTGCGAACGCTCGTTTGAAAGTGTGAGAAACTGACAGAAATTACAGTGACCCCATGAAGGTCACTAAATACTCTTCCACACTGGTCAGAATAAATATGATCGTGACTGTTTACTTGAAGCAGTTCTCCTCGTATATGCTGTTCCAGATCCGCCAGGCCTCTGGTCCTTTGTAGCCGGTGAAACGCTCAGGGTTGAGCAGGAGGTCGACATACTGTGATTCAGGCGAGTCCACATCTAAGAAAAGAAAAAAAATCAATGATGCAGCCTGTGGAGGATGAATAAAGCATACTGGTCTGCATGTACTGGCCAATGATCACACACTTCAAATAACAAGCAGATTATCAATTGAGCAAACTATGAAAGCCTTGATTACCGTCCAACATGCAGAAACGGTCCGATTCATCATCGTGTTTCTTCCACTCCTGAAGAGCCTGGCGTGTCTCGTCACTACATGGGGAAACATTGAGAGAGAGAACTTGCACAAACAAGGTCAAAAAGTAAAGAATTGTAAGTATTCCTGACTCTCAGAAAGTGCAACACATTGACACAAACATACCTTAGAGAACCGTTGACAGCTCCAAGTTTCTCTGCCTTCTCACACTCCTCTAAATCCTGACTGGCTGCTTCTGAATACTGTGAGGAAAAATAATCAACACCCACCAACAACAAAACGTGTGATATACACTATATGACTTAATAATACCTTATAACTGCTGGATTTAAGGCCCTCTGGTACTTCACCCTGCACAGAAAGACACAAGGAGTCTTTTCACTTCACAAGTCACATATGAAATCCCTCAAGACAAAATCAACTGAATGAACTTTGAAAAGCTCACCGGTGTGCATGGTTTCACAGCACAGTATTTGAGTCCACACTGACTGTGGTCTGTCCAGAATGGGCAGGGGTTGTTCAGATTGACCTGAGCATAATATTGAATATTAGAGATGAAAGAACAAACAATAAATAGATATTTTCACTCTATTACCAACAATAAACTCACCTTATAAAACCGGAAATAATCCGATGATAGTAGTTTTTGTAGTTTGGGAAAGATTTCTTTGTTGTTGAACCTGTCGATGGTCTCAACATCACAAGCACAATCATCAAGAGTCCCAGTGACCTACGACCAAAATGTAACCGTCCAATTAATCAAAAGTAACACATTTTGACACAAATTAAGTTGGTTAATCGTGTTCATTTGCAAAATGACATTAAAAATCAGTCTCAGAACACCATTTGAAAAAAAATAAATACTGTGAAGATACCTTACATGAAGATATAGTGATGGTTTCAAATGACAATACTACAATACTTTTATATAGTTGCCAATGCCATACAGTTTCATCATTTGTGGATTACTTGATATGGATTTTTCAAAATAATAGTATTTAATCACATTAATACACACACACAGAGATTTTAATAGCTGATGAAATATTTGAGCTGAGCATAACTAGAAAAATATATATAATTACTATAAACATTTCCTTGATTACTAAATCACAAGTTTTAAAAGTGTTATTGTAAAATTACAACTAAAACCATAAAAATGTATTACCTGAAATAATCATAAATCAACATTAACTGAAATAAAACATACAAACTTATTGTATTTCAGCTAGTTGCCAAGGCAGCATTTCTCTTTATAAAATGAATAAAATAAAAAAATAAATAGACATAATTGTAAAACAAACAAAAAAACTAATATACAAAACACAATCAAATTACTCAAACTTTAACTAAAATTAAAACGTAAACTATAAAAATAAAAACTAATTCAGAATATTCATTTAGTTTCTAAATTATACTAAAATAACACTGTTTCCTTGGTATGTACCATAGGCCATTATCTGACTGACTACCATATTTATATTTACCATGGCATTAACATGGTACCTAATGCATTTCTAAAACCATGGTATTAACATAGTTTTATATGAGAAACAATATAATACTGTGCTCATTTTTATGTTAGTGTCACATGTTTAATATTTAATAAATTGAGTTTCCAACATAATGTAACAGTATTAGTGATGTTGGTGTTCTCACCTGGCAGAAGCACCTGTGCGCCGCGGATCCTGCTGCTGTCGTCATGTGGACGCTAGTCAGTGAAAGCGCCAACAGAATGAAGGATTTCATTGTCATTTGTCAATGAACCGAGTTCGGCGTAAATGGGTCAGTTCAGTGCATGCTTTCTTATCTTCACACAGCTACAGTTGTTTCTGTATAGTACTACGTCGCTATAAGGCACGTTCACTCACAGATCACTTCCGATTGAATCAGCCGCTACGTGAAGTACGTGACTCAAATACTGCTGCGATATGACTGACGCAACAATGAATAACTGGGCCTAACGCAGGCATTCACAAAACATTTTGTCACAAAATATGCTTCATTTTACATTCATATTAAATTCTCAGTGAATCTGTCAGGCTGAAATGTAACAGCCTTTCTAATGTCATCAGACTGAACCAGGAACTCCTTCTTTTGGATAAAAATTGCACTACATGCAGTTCACCGCAAGATGCCGCCAAATACTAGATTCTGTATTAGGTGGCGTTCCAGTCTGTCAACCGTACTGAATCAGTACAGTATAGGTTCCTAGTGATATCTGATGATATTCACCTGACCTTTTGTTCTCCTCTTATACAGGAAGATCTTTTAAAGACAGTACATCTGTTTATTCTGGAGTTTATGCAGTGCAATCTTGTGCACTACTGTTAAAAATCCAGAAATGTAATGCAGCAACGTTTAGATGACGTGTGTGTGTGTGTGTGTGTGTGTGTATAATTTAGCAGATTTATTTCTTTTCTCATTATTTTCGATTTGTTTATTTAATATATTAATATACATTATATATTAGAATATTTTTAATTTAATTTATTGGGTCGAAGATGGCATGTCCCATTTTGGTGTTTGTATCAAATGAAATGTACTAAAATGATTTCATATGTATAGTAAGCATTTTAAATGCAAGTGTCTACTTTAATGTTTCCAATGTAATGATTAAACAACATACTTATTCTGACCTGTACTTATTAAAATATAGAAAAGATTAAGTGATCATACAAAATTGTATTATATTTAAATGATTAAAATCGTCTTGCTGACAAATGGGTAAAACCTAGAGGTTTTAGGTTGCTAAGATGGGTAAAGATTTAAAATGACAGTTTGTACTTTGGGACTGCACTGTGATACTTAAATAGATTCTTTTTATGTGTAATAATTATGTCTAGTTGGGCGTTCGGTGCCTTGCTCACAGGTCTCACCTCATTCGTGGTACTGAGGGTGGAAGAGAGCACTGGTCATTCACTCCCCCACGTACAATCCCTGCCGGTACCAAGACTCGAACCTGTGACCTTTGGGTTACCAGTCAGACTCTCTAACCATTAAGCCATGATTTATTCTCTGGTATACTCTCCATCTCTGATTCAGCTGCATAATACTTATTTTGCACTTATCAACTTCAATACTTATAACCAGTATTGGGGGTAACGCATTACAAGTAACGCAAGTTACGTAATCAGATTACTTTTTTCAAGTAACTAGTAAAGTAACGCATTACTTTTTAATTTAGAAGGAAATATCTGAGTTACTTTTTCAAATAAGTAACGCTAGTTACTTTGTTTCCCATGTCTTGACTGACAGCTCTCGTGTTGCCATGTTGAGAAAAATGGGAAGTAAGTGCAGCGGCGTTGTGTGCGCTGTGATGTTACTGTAGTTCTAGACTAAATATGAACATTATTTACTCTTCTCCCTGCACAAAAACAGATTCAGTATTCTTCCAAATTAATAAAAACAGTCAAATGCAAACTCAGAATATTATATAAACCT